AAATACATTTCTAAGATGATCTAAGTTGCGTAAACATGGGTTAAAGAGGCTGGCTGCACTAAACAACTCGTATTCCCCCTCTCTTTTACACTTGCACCCTAGCTTATAGATTACTTTGTACGAAACGATGATGCGCTCCGTTATTGTATTAGTTTCAACACACCTGTATGTTAGTAATTTGCTAAGATTTCGATTTGTCTTTTTTTTTTTATAAATATAACTTACTTTATAATGTGTGGAATCAAACTAAAGAGTTATTCTTTGTTATCCTTCTCTCCGTACAACCCACTCTCATTTCCTCGTTAAAATCGCTAGGTCCCGTCCTTGGTAAATGAGACTTGCGTCTCAGATCTAAGAAAGGACCAACGAGCGAGTGTTCGCTAGACAGAGTAAGATCGGCGTACGCCGTTGACCTGTCGACGAATATAAACAAATTCGCTCGACTCTCTCACAGCGGGACTTCCGTGTCCACTGTAAAGAGAGATATGGAAAACGATGCGTTTACTGTTGCGTTTCACCACAGCCCGACCGTATCCATGGGCCAAGACGTAACAATATAAAATGGCAAGAAAATAATATACTATACTTGTAACTATGACAAAATATTCTATATAATATTCTTACATAAGAAATTATTTAATATTAAAATAAATTAACATTAAAAAAATTTAATTTAATATTCTTATATAAAAAATAAGTTTGCCTTTTGGTTTTGTAAAGGAGCCGCTTTTCCTGCAACTTGTCCGGCCTTTTGTCTGCCGGACAGCTTGGTCGTACCAGGACTTAGGTGAGGAGAAGGAAAAGATTGCGACACGCTCGGGTTTAATTTAATATAAACTTGCTTGATATATTTAGTTTTTACTTATTATAAACGGTATTTATCTCACTCGACATATTTTACTCATTCGAAAGCCACGGAGTGTTACAAGTGTACGTACACGGTATCTTATTAACTCATACGGTATTACAAATTGAAACACAGTATTTTCAATCGATATTTTGCACGCAGAAATAAATTGTGATTGCACGTACATTCTAAAAAAGGGGTTAAATTGGGAGCGGGTACACGGTGGGGTAATTTATTTTATACCGCGGAGTGAACGCGAATACATACAACGACGGAGTAAGACTTGAGTGACACTGCTTGTTGGCGCGGTGCGTGCAAAATGCGGCCGGCAGGCCTGTAGGGGTATAGATTGAGTCAGCACCTCGCCCCCGGTACTGACTGAGTCATCGCTTCAGCCGGCGAAGAGAGGAAGAGACCGAGTCAGCTCTTCGGCCTGTGTCCGGCTGTGTCCGGCTGTGTCAGCACCTCAGCTGTTGAACTAGGATAAAGTCGGGTAAATCGCGTCAGTATCTCGATTCGTACTTTCTCGAGTCAGCTCTTCAAGAAGGCGTTTGATGCACTCGAGTCAACTCCTCGAGTGCCGAGATCGGTAAATCTTTAGAATCAACGCTTTGAGTGCAAGGAATGATGCTCTTGACCGTTTTCAGCCGGCTTATATATCGGGCGGGTGTTCTACATTTTGCTTGGGATTGGTATAAAGTATGCACTTGTTTAACGCCCTGTCGTAGTGCTTACGCGGACTAGTACCCGCCGCCGCAGTTTAGATTGTACACTCGTACGCAGAAGTGCTGTTGGTGCACTGACGCAATGACCGAAGGCACGGCGGGTTACATAAGTTTTTAAATTATTTTATTCTATGAACAGATATTTAAAAAATAGGAAACAACCTAATAAGTAATAGAAAATGAACAATAAATAAACAATAGTGATATGTTAGTAGACATATAAAAAAAAATATAACAAACAAAAAGAAAAAAAATTAGTGGCGGGGATCCGTGACGGGATTAATTAGTGACGGAGCTTTATTCCGTCACAGTTTTTTATATTGATGGGTATTTTATGAGATAATTATGTCGTTGACACAATTATTTGTTTGTAGGTAGAGAAGAGTCAAGGCGAAGTATACAGGCTCAAGGCCAGATTGGAAAACGCTCAAGGCGAGCAAGAGAGTTTACGAGAAGAGTACGATCGAGCACAGGCGTCTGTGGCTCGTCTTCACGCCGAGAGAGATAAGGCAATCGGCGAGCTTGAGAAATCGCAGGAAGAGCTTGAACGTACGCAGGCTACTCTTGGTAAAGCGCAACTTCAACAGGATAAGTTGCAAAATCTTTTGGATAAAACTCAAAGTGAGGTCGACAAGCTTCAAGAAAAGCTCGATAAAACGCAGACCGAAGTTCGAAGAGTGAGTAATATTAGTAAAATTCAAAATACATATTCAACAAGTACATTCATTCACATAAATTCATTTATTATAAAGACAGATTTTCTGTATTATAAAATTATATACATAAACAATAAATAATAACATTGTTATATATATTCGTTTTACTAATAACAATAATTACATTTTTGCGTATTAAAGTTTTGCGTATCTAATAATTCATGAATGCTTGTTAATATATGTATATATAATATTTATTGATCTATTGAAATATGATAAAAACTCGTTGAAAAACTTAGATGCAAATGGAAAGAGAGAAACAGAACTACGACTTTGAGAACTTGCAAAGTCAACTTGACAAAGCGCTAGGGCAGTCAACGAGAATGCAGAAGGAACGTGAGACAATTCAGCTTGAAGTTGATCGGTTACAAGACAAATATGAAAAGGCTCAAGTGAGTATAAGTGATATAGCAGTGATATTTTACAGGCTAATCATTAAGAAGGTACTGGAGTAAGATCCGAAATCCGCACTGGGGTTTCTGCCTGGAAAGTGGCGCCCTCAAGTGGTTGAGTTAGTCCTTTCTTCTTTTAAAGTGAGAGACAGGCTATAATCGCTCTGTCTATCGCGTTACCGGTCTTTCGTCGTACAGCTCGAGCTGGCCAGCACCGAGAATACCAAAGTGATGGGGATACGCACACAAGTGAGAACTGCCGTCCGTGTGCGAAATCGTGGAAAAGTGCAGACATACTGTTCCGTCTCCTTTCTACTAAGACGGGCTAAGGCAAGACACAAGGCACGTTCACGTAGCGCGCTTGTTGCGTATGACAGCAAAGTGCGTTTTCAAGATTTAGAGTCTTAGAAAAAGTACATATATTTTTGATAATAATAAAATCTCAATAATAATAACAAGAAATATATAAGGCCTTACGAGCCATTCGCAGGATGTTTGAGCAGAAACTGTACGTATATATATATATATACATGCACATGTAACGAAATCAACTTGTAAATTTTTACAAGTGAGTGTTTTTTGAGTTGAAAACTCAATTCTTAAATTCATACGGAATGCTGGATTTGCATCTCACATATAACAGACCCCGGATACCCCCTAACTAATTTTTTTTAAATATTGCGAAAAAAACTCCTCGGCCAGGAGTCGAACCTGGAATCTCCAGCTATCCGTGCCATAACTGTAAGTCTACACACAACAGTTAGTCTACACACGAACATGATAACAAGACATTTTAAAACTTTGACCAAAATGTGACAGTGTGACAGTTATCTATTAAAACTTTATTTGTAACATCTCTTAACTGCTATCATGTGTACAACTGAAGCAAACTTAAGAATAAAGTCAAAACGTTTTGTTTTTTAATTATAAATATGAAGTATTACTGCAATACATCCTGCAAAGGTTTACAATAACCGATTATATATCACGTATTATTTTAAAATATTTAATTGATATACCATATTATATGAATATACTATTTTGAGAAAAAATAGAAACTTATGATCATATAAAATTATATATATAAGTGATCAAATTGTGCCACATTTTGAATCTGAATTTATGTGATCATGTAAAATCCGATCCGAAATTTGACGCGATCTGATCACTTATATATAATCTTATATAATCATATGTTTCTATTTTCTCTCGGGAAAATAATTAATGACTTTGTATAATATAAGTCAATACTTCAAGAGTATGTATATGTAAAATGTAGATTGTTTTTGTAATTTACAAACCAAACCTATATAAAAATAAGTAATAATAATATCCTATGTATATATGTTAAATGTTTTCAATATTCTAAAACCTAAAAGTATTACAATTAACTCATATTACTAATTACACAAATATGATAATTACACTACAAATATATAATGCATCTTGAGGTGTTTCATTTTCAATAATATTATATTACTTTTTCCAAGACTGTAAATCTTGGAAAAGCATTTTACGTTATTATATGCAACAAGAGCGCAATGTGAACATGTCTCGTGTCTCGTCTTATAGCCAGCTTGGTGGAAAGGAGACGGAACATAGTAATTGACAGCTCACAAGAATTCGCTCTACCCACAAGCTAACAGACGCGATGGGCAAGGGGAATCGTCCGCTCGCTTCACCCAATCTCTTCTACTAGGTAGGTTCTGTTGAGGCGGTAGGGATATGCCCACAAGCGAGAACCGTGTGAGCTCACGGACGCGTTCTCGCTTGTGGACATATCCCCACCGCCTCGACAGAACCTACCTAGTAGAGGAAATTGGGTGGAGCGGGCGGACTATTCCCCTTGTCTCTCGCGTCTGGTAGCTTGCGGGTAGAGTGAATTCTTGTGAGCTGTCAATAGTATGTCTGCACTCTTCCACGAGCCAAACAATCGAGCATGACATTACGCACACGGACGGCGGTTCTCGCTTGTGTGCGTATTTCCATCCTTCGGTACTCTCGGTGCTGGCCGGCTCGATCTTACATATAATATTTACTGCGTCTTTAACAATTTAGTATATGCAAAGCTTTCTGATAAATGTAAAATTTTTGATAATTTAGTCTCATAGTTTGTTTTTAGTAGTAATATATGCAAATTAAATAAAAACTTATTATAACGTACATGTACACATATGTGCATACAATAAATATACGGTGTTCTGTATAGTACTGCAGCAAACGCAATGCGTTATTGTTTATAAAAGAATAAATAGTACATAAGAAATAGATTTAAAAATAGAGTTAAAAATAGATTTTTCTCAAAACTTTTTATTTTTTTATTTATGAAAAGTCATTTTCTTTGACTAACACAATACAAAATATCGTGTGCATAAAATAAGTATATAAAGCACGTATATCTTATAAATAAAAAATAGAATGTTAGAAAATTCTTTTAATTTGTGTATTTATGTTATATGAAAAGCACTGTGATCGCAGTACAGAAAACGTACATTTAGTATTGCGCATATATGTGTACATAGAAATTATAATAATTTTTTATTCACTTTGCATATATGATTACAAAAAGATGATAAACTGAAGGTCATTAAATATTTTATATTGCACAAAAAATTTTACATATTACTGAAGTACTCACAAAACGCTGTACAGTAATCGACCGTCAAAATCTACAAAAAAAAACTTGGATAAACGCGAGACATAGCGATTAGTCCATTGCACTCATAAAGATACAAAGTACATCTCTATTTTCTCTCTCTCTCTCTTTCTCTCTCTCTCTCTCTCTCTCTCTTTTTCTTATATACATATATATATACAGGGTGTCCCAGAATTGGTGTAACATCTCTTGTGAACAAATAGAAGGAGTAAAACTAAGTCAAAAAGTTTTATACCATTTTGCTAGATTCGCAATAGTTACCGAGATCTTAATTAACAAAGATCAGCGAATAAGCATGCATCGGGCTGTCTTACGCGCTTAAGACAGCCCAGTGCGCTTCGCGCGCTTACGGTGTTACCNGTANNAGCATATGGGAGGAGCTAATATAACAGCATATACTATAACATATACATATTAAAATGTAATTGTGCAAAGCGCGCCGGGCTGTCCTACGCGCGTAAGACAGCCCGATGCACGCTTATTCGCTAATCTTTATTAATTAAAATTTTGGTACCAATTCTGGGACACCCTGTATATATATATTAAGTCTACCGGAAAGTTCTGTCAGTTTTTGGAATAAAACAAAATACAAATTTTTTTACCGTTAATAAACTTTATTAAATAATATAATTGCCATTATTATTAATGATTTCTTGCCAGTGTGAGGGCAATTTGTATATCCCATTTTTGAAAAATGTTTTATCTAAGGTCAAAATCACCTGTTTCGAATGTTTTATCTAAAGTCGAAATCACCTGTTTCAAATTTTTTGAACCATTTTCTGCATGTCCTATCAGAAACTGTACCTTCTCATCAAACACTTTCAATAAATTTTTACATGCTTCTGTAGCATTTCTTTCTTGTTGAAATTCGTATAAAATACAGTAGCGTAAATACACTTTATCAGTAGCCATGGGTACACTATCGCTTCACACATAAGACTAACGTGAATCAACTTTGTTTTCGTTAATTTGCTACGTCAGTATGTATACATTAAGTGAAAAAAATAGAGAGGCATACATGCGCCAAATAAACATGTGCTTACGTGTCGAAACTTGTGATAGAAACGGACAGAACTTTCCGGTAGACCTGATATCTATATATATATATATATATATATACAGGGTGTCCCAGAATTGGTGTAACATCTCTCGTGAACAAATAGAAAGAGTAAAACTGAGTCGATAAGTCCTATACCATTTTGCTAGATTCGCAATAGTTGCCGAGATCTTAATTAACAAAGATTAGCAAATAAGCATGCATCGGGCTGTACTCGCTTAAGACAGCCTAGTGCGCTTTGCGCGCTTACGGTGTTACTCGTAGCAGCATATGGGAGGAGCTAATATAACAGCGTATACTCTCTCTATAACATATACGTATTAAAATGTAATTGTGCAAAGCGCGCCGGACTGTCCTACGCGCGTAAGACAGCCCGATGCACGCTTATTCGTGGATCTTTGTTAACCCCTTAACCTACGATTTAGATTCAAAGATGTTGGGCCGAAATCGTATACAAGCTCGCGCAGCGTTCGGGTCATTCGCACGACTTGTGTAACACGCTGATCGGGCCAATCGTAAACATGACGGGCATCGCCCGTGGTAGGACGATCGCGGTAATTGCATATCAAATATTCCACGTAATATTCACTTCTGGCCCGATCACCGTACGCGGGTTATGCCCGTAATATTTACGTTTGGTCCGACCATCGTACGCGGGCTCTGCCCGTCATTGTAGGTTAAGGGGTTAATTAAAATTTCGGTAACTATTGCGAATCTAGCAAAATGGTAGAACTTATCGACTTAGTTTTACTTCTTCTACCTGTCTACAAGATGTTATAAGTTAAAAGGGGTTGTTTGGTACTTACTTAGCGTTAGTTTAATTGCAAGTTAGAAGTAATTATTAAAGTATTAGTTTTTATATTAAAGAGTAATTGTTTCTTTAACGTGGCTCGTTTTACACCTTGAGAAACTACAATCCGGCGCGGATGTCCAGTCAGCGGTAGGGTTTTGTTGGGTGATACGCGATAGCGCACCCAAGGACGCACTGGGCAAAGGTCGCACATTCGGCCAAAAAGATGCAATGGTTTGCATTGCACTTTTCGGAGACCGGATGTCGCCCGATCTTCTTCAGCCAATCACGACTGATTGACTGAGGATTGACTGAGGAATATAAGCCGGTGTCGGGACATGGGCAAGGAGAATCAATCCGGGAAATGTTGCCGCCGGTGGCTCTGCTCGGCAGAGCATCGCTACTTATACGCGTGTGATAGTGTGGGTGAAAATAATACAACACCGAATCAAGAACTAAAGCAACAAGATTATGATTCTGTTAAGGCAAATAAAGAA